TCTCTGAAACTCTCATGCTCTAAATTACTCCCTCACAATGTACTTAGATGCAAGTTCCATCCTCTAAAGTGGTGGTGGAGAGAGAGCAATCTGATTGAATAATTGACTTACTACATATGCACTTCCCTATAAAATGAACTTGTTAAAACTTCAGTTAATGTCTACTTGATTAGGTTGTGTAGAAACTATTTCTGTCGGCTATTTTACAAGACTATATAGGGCAGGCAGTGCTCTTCACAAGTAAAACTGCATGTCAAACAGAAACAACTAACATACAGCTTCTGAAAGTTTTCCAACCATACTTTAGAAAATTGCCCTGGGTATATACTTATTTTGTGAGGAAATAAATAGACAAAACCATAGCTTCCAGCATGTTCCCCGTCCCAGAAATGGTGACAGACTGGCAAACACAGACTTAAAGATAACCTGCGAAAGGTACTATGCATGTATCTATTCTAGTATGAGGTAATTAATACAGGTAGTTTCTTAAAGAAGGAGTGAGAGCTTCATTATTTGGATTACGATTCAAAGCAGAAGCTACACAAATCAGTGTAAAATTGATTTTACACTGTTCTGCAAGCTTAAGCCATTTAAGATTGGCTTAAATGAATTTCTTCTCAGGTAATCATCACTGAAACTCACTTTGAACCAACCGTACACACACTCAAGCGAAGCGCCATGATAACTGGTTGTAAAGGGAATGTAACAGATGCGTGCAGAAAAGTGCTTTTCAACATAGCACACTCCTCATAAAGTCAATAAAAACAATTTATTCCTAGTAATGTAATGTTATATATTCATGTGCAACTTTCCTTTTATAATGAGCATCATTGTTAGAAGCAGGGGATACGAGGAAGGGACTTTTAAGGACATAAATGACTTTTATATTCTAAATTTAATTTATAGGTGTACATAGATTTATCTTATAGAAAAAACATCAGCTGTACTCTAAATTCCAAAACAGTAGAAGAAAACAAATTCTACACATAAATTTGATGCCTAGCCTGTGGAATTTTTATGTGCATAGAATTTTCTTATAATTATAAACCTTTACCACTCAATTCCGTTTGTTACTTAAGTATATATACAATCAAATGTCACTTAATGCCAGGTATATGTTCTGAAAAATGAGTCATGAGACAATTTCTTCATTTTGAGAATACAACAGAGCATACTTACATAAACTTAAATGGTATAGACTACTGTACACCTAGGCTATGTGGTATAACTTATTGCTCCAGGATACAAACTTGTACAGCATGATACTAAGCTGAATACTGTAGGCAATTGTAACACAGTGGTAAGAATTTGTGTATCCAAATTGTCTAAACATAGAAAAGGTACAGCAAAAATATAGTATAAACGATAAAAAATGGTACATGTGAATAGGACACTTAGTGAATATGAAGGCCTAGGACATTTACTATATACTACTGTAGACTTTATAAGCACTATACTTTATACTACACACAATTCATAAAAAAAGTTTTTATTTATTTAGTAATAAATTAGCCTTAATTTATGGTGATGTTTGTAATTTATAAATCTTTTTTTGTTAACTTTTGACTCTTTTTAAATAATACTTAGCTTAAAACACAAACACATTGTACAGCTGAACAAAATTAATTTCTTTCTTTATATCCTTGTCCTATAAGCTTTCTGCTATTTCATTATTTTTCCCCCTCTTTAAACTTTTTCATTACCAAGACAAACACACACACACACACACACACACACACACACACAAATTGCTGTAGGCCTACACAGGGTCGGGACCATCAGTATCACTGTCTTTCATCTCCATATTCTGTTCCACTAAAAAGTCATTGGGGCAGTAACACACATGGAGCTGTCATCTCCTAGGATATCAATGCCTTCTTTTGAGATACCTCCTGAGGAGCCTACTTGGGGCTGTTTTACAGTTAACTCTTTAAAAAACAAAAGGAGAGGGAGTATACTGTAAAATAATGATTAAAAATGTATGGTGTGGTAAATACATAAACCAGTAACCCAGTCATTAATGATCATTATCAAGGGTTATGGGCTGCACATAATTGCACGTGCTATACTTTTAGACGACTGGCAGTGCAATAGATTTGTTTACACTAGCATTGCCACAAACATGTGAGTGATGCATTGCACTACAATAGTATAATGGCTCTGATATCACTAGGTGACAGGAACTTTTCAGCTCCATTATAATCATATGAGACCATTTGTTGTGCATGCACCCCATTCTTGACTACAATGTTAGTATGTAGTACATGACTGTATATATGTATGCATATACATATATAAGATTTCACTTACATCAAATTATACTCATCAATTTATACATAGTTACATTTTAAATTATATCATTTTTAATACAGGAAAAGTCGTGGTACTAGGTGAACGACAGAAAAACCCAAAGTGAATTATGGTGATGACTTGTAATGTTTGGGTAACAACTTTACTACACCAATTCTTTAAAAATTGGACCTTCCCCGAAACAAGTAGCAGATAATACATAGGATGTAAATTTCATTGATGTACTTGGAAAACCTTGCAATGTTCATAAAGAAATGATGGAATTTGATGGCAAGTGGTTTCGAGGGGCCAATACCTTCAATGATATGCCTGATCTGTATGTTACTAAGTGGACTTTGGTTTCGAAACTGTGCATTATTAAGTGTATAGAACTAATGCCAAGGGGTGTTTTATTTAGAAAGCAAATGGGACTTTATCATAGAATATTGCCTGCTAGAGAAAACAATTTCTTTTATACTATGTTCTTCTCTACAATGGTATTGGATACTGGTGAAGAATTAGGAAGTACATGGGTTTATTAGTGTGGCTGAAAAATACCTTTTATTGAATAAAAAATAGCATTTCACTTCTTTCTCATCTGCAAGAATGCAGGGACACTTGCTATTTACTCAATCACACACACTAAAGGGAATCTTTCGGGAAAAGCTGATGCTGCTTTCCAGATAAGTTATGAGAATGTTTCCAGCTTTATATTGACAACCATTTTTTTTTTCCTTCAAAGGATATTGAGAATCAAAATTATGTTAAGGGAATTTTGATAACACAACAAAGTGCATGTACCATTGTTTTCTGAGTAAACAATTAAAATTACTTTATTCTACAGTTCAAATTTAATCAGTTCACCGTTATTACAAAAATTGATCTAATAGCCACATACCATTGGAATGCAAATTCTGATGATGCTCTTTTTCTAATAATTGCAGAAATGTCATTTTAAATCTACACCCCCCCAAGAGCTTCACAGCATGCCTCTTTCTAGTTAGTCTTTTTGAGTAGAAGAAACAGGAAGCTCTGAGCAAACCAGCCACGCTATCTCTTTTGTGCACACGGTAGGGGCAAGGGCACTGTGGTATTGCTGTGTTGCTGTTAACTCACAGAGGTGCTGCCTTTCTTCTTTACCACTGCTTGCCTCCCATGGATTCCTCTGCTTCCCTCTGGGCCTCCTCACTAGCCTTCAGGCAACGTTTGGGTGACTCATGAAGAAATGGAAAATCTTGCAGCTCCAGCAAAAACGGTTAGTCTTAATGGCTTTGTTGAACCTGAAGGAAAGTGACTTTGCTGCTCTTTGGATGAGGAAACTAATTTGTTTACTATAGACCAGAGTAATAGGGTGTGTTTTTATAGTCATATGCAATGATAACTAACATTTTTTACAGTTTTCTTTTACTGTACTCTCTTGAACTTTTTAAATGAAATAGTGTTAGATTATGGCTAATATCTTAAGAGCTTATAGTACACAAACAATAAGCAAGAATATAATAAATAGTATTCATGTTGCAACATTGGAAGTTTTTGTAACAAATATCATTTAGTATCGGACATATTCACAGGTAACAGGTTTCTAAACCGAATTAAATTGGTAATAGAAAAGATTAGATTGAATATTCATTTTTAATATGATTATGTGGTTTCTTGTGCTTTACCATCTTAGATACAAGCTTGATCAAACAAAACCCCCCAAAAAACCAAAAAAGTGTTATGTTAATTTGGTACTGAAAAGCAAAATTTTAAAGAATGTCTTGGGGACTTTGTAATTGTCACTTTTAAAAATAAGATGTTATAAAAGTCATTTTTTTCACGTAAAGTAACAAAGTTGGGCATATCATATATTTTATCTTTATCAGCTGCTTTTTAATTTGATGTCTTTTCAGTGTTATCCTTTGAAAAATTGATTATCTTCAAGTTTGTGATGGATAAAAACACCCACGTCATGTATTAATTTCATTTTTAGTTTAGTTTTGTTGTACTTGGTTTTTGTCTTGTTTGGTTTTGTTGGTCGTTGTTGAAATCTATTTGATTATCTCCAAGCTTTGTTGAAGGGATACAGTCAGTTTCTTCACTTCACTAATTTACTTTGTATAAGATTTCTCTATCATATATACATATGTATATTTGTCATCAGAAATTTTTATTATAGCACACTACATTTTGAAAATTACACTCCTTTAAGAATTTTAAAAAAGGTTTCTAATGACCAAATCAAATATTCACAAAATTATGAATTTAGCATTTAAATTAGAATTAATTGAAAACTATGTCGTTGCTGCCTAATTGCCTTTGAACTGCAAAACTGATCTCTGTGGGTCTGAGTCAGAATCTGTGTATTTATCTGCCTGTTATACAAAGCATTTTGTATAACAATTTTGTTTTTGCTAGAAAAATTGTACTGTATTGATTTGAAATTAATTTATATTTACCTGCTTTATTAATCATTTCCTGCTGCTAATACAGAAAGAATCTGAGGAAGGAAGCTGGGCCCAGGTAGGAGATTCATATGCTTTAAGACCCTTAATATCATTTAGTAGGTGATGAGAATATAAATTAAGAAACTGTCATAAGTCGTAATATTGTAAACCTTCACTTAGCTCAATATTATACTGATCTGTATAGGTAAATCTAGATTACGTTAATACTTTATATGTCTTTTTTAATTACCATATTTTAAAAATAAGATGATTGCCGTTTCATACCTTGCCTCTTTTAAAAGGGTGCTTTTCTTTCTTTCTCAAAAGAGTGATCCAAAACTTAAATTCCTCTGAAATCACTCCTGAATATATTTAATCAGGAAGCATTCAAGTTGGATCTAAAGGGGGAACAGAAAGAAAGAAAAGACTTATTTGGAGTTGCCCATGCCTTCAGATATAACAGAAAGTGTATGAAGAGGGGTTGGAGGTGCAAGTGTTGGCGTTGCAGACCACAGAGTCATTAACATTTATTGAAATGTTCGTATGAGATAGGTGTCTATACTTGGAACAGACCTGTGCTTTTGCAAGGAAGCTGTGCATTTTTTCTACATTTCCACATTTTGGATGACCAAAAGAGAAAATTTATGTTATATTCAATCTGATTGAAACCTTTCAATATAAGAAAAATTTTGGTAGTTATATTAGGACCTGTATATAAACACACAATAGGATTGTATTTGATTTTGATTTTGATAAAAATTTCATCATTGTTCAGAACACACAAAAGAAGAGGAGCAGTTATATTTTCCCTAGAAATGCGTATTAGAATTGAGAAATTAGAGCATGATAAGGAACTAAATGGGAATTCTGTAAAAATAATAGAAAATAATATTTCTTTTAAAATATTGGTTTAGTGATAATGGTTGATTTTGGTTTTCATTTTAGCTGTTTTGAACAATATTGGTAAGAATAGTTTACTTGTTATATTAAAGAATTAGGTTATCTATCTTAGTTTTTGATCCTACCCTGCTTCTTTTAGAGTGTATCTTGATTGATTTCTAGAAAAGGCTGATTATTTCCAGTGATTTTTTGGAAAGCTGATGATCTGCTTTGCTAAACAATGTCCATACAAAGCTTCAAAATTCTGTCTCTCCAAACCATTTATTCCTTTCTCTGTTTACTGAGGTTTCCATTTCACATCAACATTTGCCATTACACTGTATGTAGCAATGGCAGTAGTGGCATTGATAAGAGGGAAATGGCAATAATGACATTGACAAGAGGGTAATGACAGATACAAATAAAACAAACCTATCAATATAAAGACAAAATCTTAAAGCTCAGAGTTTGTATAATACTTTCTTTATTAATAAAATACATACTTGGGCAAAATGTAATTCCTTTTGAGAATACAAAGTAAATAGCCAATCATTTTCAATAGGCAAATACTTTAATAAATGAATGCAGAGTTCCATTTTATACCAAATCAAATCAAATATTATCTGAATATTATTTTTGCTTTGTTTCCACATATCGTAGTAATTAAATATCAGTTATAATAATAGGTAATATTCTCCAATTACCATCTCATCTGATTGGTTAAGAAACTTGACTGCTATAAAACAATTCTAGTGTCCGGTTTTTCTACAGACCCTGGCTTATGGAGATATGAACCATGAGTGGATTGGAAATGAATGGCTTCCCAGCTTGGGGTTACCTCAGTACAGAAGTTACTTTATGGAATGCTTGGTAGATGCAAGAATGTTAGATCACCTAACAAAAAAAGATCTCCGTGTCCATTTAAAAATGGTGGATAGTTTCCATCGGTAGGTTTTTGTTTTTTGTTTTTTGTTTTTTTTTGCCAAAGAAGAATTAAAATGAAACAATATATTACCTATACTTTAGTAAAACAAAAATGGATATCTAGAAGATAGAAAATATATGTCATTTGAAACATCGTTTGTTTACATCTACTTGGAAAAATATCTTCATCCAGCAAATTTCAGGGACTTTCTAATTTAGAGCTATGTGCATATTATGTGCCCGAACTTCATGGAAATATATGTGTACAAAATTCTTCTCATAGAGCATAAGTCTATTTTTTGTGGGATTCTTTGAAAATCCCATGTTTGTAATTTTATAGTTGTATGTGTTTCTATTAGAAAATTATTTAGAAAGAATAAACAGATATTCATAGTTTCAACTCTACAAAAATATGGGGTTATAAATTTTATAATTTAGTAACATTCTAGGAAAAACTTTGAGAAGAAATTCTTCATCTAAGACATATTTGTGCTTTTTATTTTTCTATGTCTTTTGGTGAGTTTGCTTATTTGTATATTAATTTCAGAAAGAAGCAATACTGTGTTAGATAACTGTGAGGATGCAGATGAACAACAGGCAATGTCTTTTTTCAAGTTGTTTACCATCCAGCAGATAAAAAGGGATTTGTTGCTATACCGTATCATAAATGCTGTGTTTATGTTAGGTGAAACAATGTCAGCTGGATTTTGGTTGTTTTTTTTCACATATAGTTGATTGTGGTGATAAGTTAATAAATATAACCATAGATGATTTTGGCTTGGGAGACTGTATTTGCTTCTCTCCTGTCCAACATTTAATCAGTGACTGAAGATGGTATAAAAATTGGATATGTTGATGACATAAAATTAGGATAAATAGAGGATAATTGGGGCTTTTGATTCCAACTTATGGAGATATTTTGAATTTTAATGCAGTTGTTGACACTGTTGAATTAAATGTGGTGAAGATAAATATAACAGTGTTTTTTTAAAAACCTATTAAAGTGCTGGATGGAGAATCCATAATTTAACAGAAAAAGATAAGGAATGTATCATTAGCACGAAACTCTCCATTTTGGTTAATGGCTTGACAAGGCATGTTTAGACTGTGTTTATTGGCAGGGACCACAAAAGTGCTACCATACGGTGACATAACAAAAATAAATTGCATTTATTTATGGGCATCAAATTGTTGTAAGGTGATAGAAGTCCGATGATAAAGTTGAAGTAGTTAAATACATTTAAATTGGATGAAGGAAGACTTTAAATAAGTTTTCTTATGTTTTAAGATCATTATTATGTGATAGAAGAATTATATTTTCTCTGTTGAGTGTGTGATTTTTAGTTAACACAGGTGTAGATACTAGGGTGAGTGACTTCTACTTACTAGAAGAAACAACTTTGTACCACTCTCAGCTGCCTTGTAGTGTATACATTGTGAGGTAGTGAGTGAACTCCCTGTCATGGGCAGTTTAGGGCTTCATATTTCATATGGTTGCATTAGATTTTTGGGGTCCAGTTTTTCCATTCTTCACTAGATTGACTTTTAATGCTGTTTTATTACTTTAGTAAAATGTTTTCTATAATGATCAAATTTTAAAAAAAACCCTCAGATGACTTGCTTTTTGTCTGTTCTGGGAAATACCCAAGCTTCATTTTTAAGTTATGCTAATCTCTGACTTAAAGCAAGTAGTACCTGACTGTATATTGCATCCCATGGTCTTTTGGGCCCAGTTTTCCGTCTGACAGACATTTTCATAATATTATATATCCTCTGTATAGTATAATTTTGTATTCCATATCAAAACTTGGCAGAAACTGACCAAGATGCATTGGTTTAATCTCAAGCTGCCCAATATCTGTGATAGTGATTATGTCAGTATTATCTAGTATACCACTGAATTAGTTTGCTAGGGATGCCACAACAAAAGACCACAGACGGGTGGCATAAACAACAGAAATTCATTTTCTCACAGTTTTGGAGGCTAGAAGTTCAAGATCAAGGAATCAGCAGGTCTGGTTTCTTCTGAGGCCTCTCTCCTGGGCTTGCTGATGGTCACCTTCTCTCGGTGTCCTCACATAAGCCTTTCTCTGTGAATATATATTCCTGTTGTCCCCAAGTGTCCAAATGTTTTTTTAATAAGGTCAGCAGTCAGTTTGGATTAAGGCCCGCCCTAATGGTCTCATTTAACTCAATTACCTCTTTAAGGACACTGTATCCAAATGTAATCACATTCTGAATTACTGAGAATTCGAGCTTCCACATGTAAATTTTAGGGGAACACAATTCAACCGACAACACTTGCCTAATGAAATTTTCTTTCCATTTTTCTTTGATTCTGAAATATTTGACTCAATATTGTTTTTATTAAAATGCAGGGCTTAGAAATGCATCTAACAAATAAGTGTAGCCTGACCAATGTGTATGTCTAAATTTGCTTATATTCCTAAACATGTAAAGTATCACTGATAATCAATGATCTTTACTCTTGAAGTCTACAGATTATTTTTTCCTATCACATCTTCTGCATCTTTATATCTAATGTCACTGAGCCTTCTCATTTTCTCTCTCATAACATCTCTGGTTTATCGATTTTCCTTTCAAGTTTATGACTGTTGTCCTTATTTTAGCAGAACTGAACCCTGAATTGATTTTTCTGTCTCCTCTGATTACTTATTTTCCCATCTCCTATTTTGCTATGAGATTATTTTTCCTTAAACAGAAAGCTTATTTTATTTATTTATTTATTTGTTTGTTTGTTTATTTATATTTATTTATTTATTTATTTATTAGATGGAGTCTCACTGTGTTGCCCAGAGTGGAGTGAAGTGGCACGATCTCAGCCCGCTTCAACCTCTGCCTCCTGGGTTCCAGCGATTCTTCTGCCTCAGCCTCCCGAGTAGCTGAGACTACAGGCATGAGCCACCACACCCGGCTAATTTTTGTGTTTTTGATAGAGACGGAGTTTCACCATATAGGCCGGGCTGGTCTCAGACTCCTGACTTCGTGATCCGTCCACCTCAGCCTCCCAAAGTGCTAGGATTACAGCCGTGAGCCACCGTGGCTGGCCAAATAGAAAACTTTTACTGTCACCTCTTCCTTCTCTGAAAATTGTCCAATAATTCTGTATCAATTATATGTATTTCATACTTAAAAACAATTCAAGGCTTTCCTTCAAATGCCCTATTTTCCATGTGTAATTGTATTCCTCCTTACTTCCTAGCATGGGTTTTCAGCTCTGGAATGTGTGATCTGGCTAACCACACCTTTAAATTTTCATCTGCAATCTTTTGTTCATGATGCTCCATTTTCCTGAGTCAACCTGTCTCTGCTACTTGATCCTTTAAGGATCAATCAATTTTCTGCTCCTTCCACGTTTCCTTTTCATTCAGTTTCAATATCTGCTGACCTGTTCTTCTTACATGCTTCTGTATCACTTAGAGTTATGAGCTATTCATTTTAGTATTTGGTCCTCTATCCTATTACCTAACTTACTCATGTTTTGTGTTATTTTTCTCATCAGCTTAAGAAGAGAGTATCCATTTCTTATTAATTCCTTACTGTCTCCATAATGGGGACTTTAAATTCTTTTCAAATGAATAAAATATTAATTTGCCTGCACCTAATGTAGGAATAGCTGGATGAAAGACAAAGACACATAGATGAACAATATAATCCATGATGATTTTAAAACTATGGTTTTTCTTATTTTGAAACCATTTTTTTCTATTCCTTAGAAACATTTTGTGCTTAGAATAATTATAAATGTATTTCCCTCCAATACTGAAGGATTTGATTGCAAATGTAATTTATTAACTTGTTGCCCTAAGAAGCAGTGCATAGTGTTGACTATGGCTAATCAGAAAACTTTCTCCACCTGCTGAGGTAAACTCACTGTTTTTTGTTTTGTTTTGTTTTGTTTTTTGTTTTAATTTTTTTTATTAAAAAAAGAACAAGTTTACAGTATGGAATTATGTGCTTAAAGAGGTTGAATTATGA